CCTCTGTCTGGTGTTGAGAGCTGAGCTTTCCTTCTGAATAGAGAAACTATGTATGAACGCCACAGGAAAACATGTAATGACACACACTGGCACACTCCCACCAACAGCTGCTCCTCACTGTGCGTCTCAGCAGTCTCAAGACCGGTCTTGGTTTAGTTTCTTTCTTTTTCTTTTTACCCCCCCCCCATTTATTCACCTATTTCTTTTTCTTGTACTATTTTTTGCATCTTCTCTTAAGGTGTGTGTTGTCACGTGTGTGTAAGAGGAGGTGAGTGAAGGAAGTAGCTGTACCACATTATAGAAAATGACGCATAACGTCGAGCCGTTTGTCTGCTTCTCTCTTAAATCCCTTTTCTGTTTTACCAAAAATAAATAGGATTTGTTAAAGGTTTGGTTTGTGCTCCATGGTCGTTCTGGGGGGTTTGCAAACGGTCAATTACTAAAGAACTGTAAATTCAGGAACTGATCTATTTTCTCCTTCTTTATGCGAGTTGTAAGATTTCAAATACAAAAGATTTAAAAGATTTGTAAATAATGCTGCTATGTTTAAACGTTAAAGTTAAAACTAGCTCCACGTCAACCTGCTGCAGCATTTAAATACTTCTTTAAATATTTATTTATTTATACATATATAATGAGTGCTTTCTGTATAATGTTTTAAATATACAAACTTAAGACACTGCATTTTATTTTTTATTCTATTGCTCCACCAGTTGGTCTGAGGATTACAATCACTTTGCTTTTCCTAAAGGTTTAGTATAAGTACACAGTCTCAGCTGCCTTTTTATCAGATACCAGCTCGGCTGCCCAGAGATCCGTGCCTTTTGTAAGACAAAGATTTATTTTCATTTGACTTACAGTGTTATTATTACAGTAATAATTGTGTTTCTGGTTAATTGTTATGGCTTTATTGCAGTCAGTAGTTTAGATGACTGGAGAGAAAGATATTACACATTTAGGTGTCGGGTTTAGGGGGATTTACACATAGAAATCACAACATTACAAAAGCGACACGGCCCGAGGGCTTCCATGAAAGAAAATAAACCTTCCCATTGGTACCAAAATGAGGGTTGATTAAATACTGGAACACAATGCTGCTCAACATCCTCAACTATAAACCAAAGTCTCAAAAATGAATGAGTAACTCTCCCTTATACAATAAACCACTTTACTAACTAATTAAACTGTTAAAGTTTTAGCTAAGCGTGGGAGTATTTGGATTGCGTCATCTGTAGATTTCAAAATAATAACGAATTAATAGTGATAGATCTACAGAGACTAAACAGAGCTCTCTCCTGTGTAAGTGTTGCAGTCGCTTTTAGAGTTTGGTGAGGTGTAGTTTTAACGCCTTTCACACAATATATTCAGTATCTGTGTGCGCCAGTAACTCGTAGAACCACTTCCAATGTCGTGGGAGTCGGCCCGAGTCTGAAGCTCGGCCTCCGTGAATACGTGGAACATGCCTGTAACCGGCGTGGGTGTCTTGCGGTCTGTTGCGGTTTGGGGTTTGGTCGTGAATGAGACGAAGCCTGCAAGTCATGCATTGAGAGCCGCGCGGCCGATTCAAGTGTCAGATATGATGGAGTGTTTGACTGCCGCTGCCAGTTTAAGCTTGCCATGGTCTGCTAGCCGGGCGGCTGACTGAGTGTGTCGCGCGGCTCCTCTTTACACGCAAACTAAATGCACCATTGAATCCGGCTCCCCGCAGACAGGCCGGTTTAGACAGACGTTTGACGGGAAGGACACTTTCACAACTCGCATCAAAATAGCTGCTCGGTTTGAACAAAAAAGCAACACTGTCTTTACTCTAAAACACACATGAGCAACTGCTAAACAGCCGTTTTAGTCATTACGTGCTTACAAAGACCTGTGTGTGTGTGTGTGTGTGTGTGTGTGTAGAGGGCTGGGAGGAGGGGGGGCGGGGGGGGGGGGGGCAAGGATCATTTGGCTTTTAAAGAGAACAAGAGTTGTTAGAAATGTTGAGCCGCTATCTAAGTGAGCCGGTGGCTCCCCCGCTGGAGCAGGGGGGGAGACACAATGGCTCGGGAGGATCTGCTGCTGTGTCTGTGGCTGCAGCTTCCACGCAGGCCACCCACCAGGAGAGAGGGGCTGAGGAATGCTTTTTACTGGATTGCTTGTCCTGCCCCCCCCCCATCTCTCTTCTCCTCAGACCTACAGAGTGTGTGTGTGTGTGTGTCTGAAGTGCCATTAGATACATTACCTGGAGGAGTGTGTGTGTGTGTTTTCTGTTTGCCTGGACATGGATTTTCCACGTGCTCTGTGACCACCGGTGATGTGGTTTTAAGTAGGTGGTTCAATTTTTTTCTTGTATCCATCCCGCTGACTATTGAAGGAAAGACTCCACACGAGGGCTTTATTTTTCTTTCAGTTGAAACAGACCTGAAACTATCAGTCACTGGACGGAAAACGGTGCAGCATGACGCCTTATGTCACTACATGAGGTGCCTGCAGCACATCATACGTGAGCTCCGATCAACCTGTCAACAGCTGAGACGTATTGTGGGTAATATAAAAGTACAATCAGGAAACGAGCAATGCTAAAACTCTTCATTAGTACACAGAAAAGATTACGTGTAAATATTTGCTCATTTCAGAATGCTGCCATTTACTTTCTTTAAACTTTTGTTTTCTTCTACCATAAATTATGAAAAACGGCAAATAAACAACAATGTATCATGACCATCCACTTCTACTGGACTGCAAAACGTGCCAAAATGAACGGAAATAAAAGATTCCTGAATCTTTGGCGGCCTCTTAATCATCTTTTGCGTTTTTTAACCAGGACTGAAATACGTTTGATTGTAACACACACTGTAATGGATCGGTCCTCTCCTTTATTCTATTATTTCACTCATTCCAACCATCTAATATATTCAATTGCGAATAAAAAAGAAAGAAAAGCAAAACCAAGAGATCCAATCAGTATTTCTGACCCTGTGTGTCAGCCCACACTGAGCACAGTAAGCTTTCCTCCACCAGAGGACGCTTTACTTCTCGCTGCCTGCTACGCCCATCAGCAGAGCAGAGTGTGACTGAGGCAGAGAGCTGGCACCGTCTCACACGCGGCATTCCTACGGAGACGCCCTATATTCACATTATCCACCTGTACACACATTAAGATAGCAGGCACTGTACCTTCTGGCTGGCACGAGTTGTTTGAAGGTCAAACAAGACGTGGGCTGTGTCTATATTTACACTTGCCAGTAGAGTGAGAGGCTCAGGGTGTGTGTGACCGTGAGGGTGACATGCTCCGATGCTGCTATGAAGACCCGCCGGACTTACACTGCACGACCGGTGGCAGCGCAGCAGAGCGTGTGTGTGTGGGTGTGTTGAATGTGTGTGTGTGTGTGTGTGTGTGTGGCAGAGATGAGTTCAACTGTGAGCACAAAGGAAAGGGTGTAGCCCGATGGACAGGTGGTGACAGATGATGGGTGGCAACCACAAAGTGTCATCCCCGGCTTGATGTTTGCAACTGACAACTAGCTGGCTGGCATTCATCTCACACTCATCTGATGCATGGAAGCACCTTCTTTTAAGACTTAATGTGTGTTTTTTTGCTCCGACCGCAGCTTGTTTGCTTTTCAATTCAATTCCGCTGTCTCACACACTTTACTGTAAACCCACATACACATGCACACAAAAAAGCCACACATACATAGTTGTTTACATTCACATATATGGTTAAAACAGAGGGTTGTGAGAGATTGGAAGGAGCAGGTTCCATAATGCCCGTTAAAACCCGTTAACCCGAGAGGCAGAGAGACAGGATGGCACAGAGAAGCAGGAGAGATCCTACACACTGAAACAAGGGAGGACATGAGGAGATGGTAAACCTTCACGATTCTGCAAAACTAGCTTGGCAAATGATGATGGATGATTCCAGGAACAGAAATGTGACTGTTTGACTGTAAGCATTTGAGGGAACGACTTTCCAAAGTGGTCATTATTCCGATCACCACTTTCCAACTTTCCCAGAGAGAAGCAGTTGATTTTTGTACATATGATGATTTATTGATTTATGTCACAGGTTAATCTATCAAGCTAAAAGTGATAAGAGCTCTGCTCACGCATAATACAGAGGTGAGTACCATCAAATTTGAGATGTGACTTTGTGAGAGCAAAACTGTCCTATGTGGTCGGGTTTGACTTGTTGTGAGTCACCTTTGTGCTGTCAGAGGTCTCTTCTCTGTGAGTTTGGTGTGGGGGGGAAACGCGAGTCCTTAATGCTTTTATGTTTTTATTTTCTCATAAAATGTTGAGATACAACATAATGAACTAGGACTTTTTTTTAAGACTTTCTACTTCCTATACAATGACATTTTTAACACAGAATTATGACATTTATTGACAAAACGTCATACTCTTTCCTGCCTTTTTTGGACAACAACATTTACTTTTTGTTGACTTTTTTTCGACTTGCTATATGATTCATTTTCTAATATGTGACAATATGACATCATACTATATGGTATGTCAATTCCATGTTTACATTTCGCAAATGCTTTTTTTCTAAGACTTTTTTATACCTGTTTTCAACTCGCTATACCATTTAAAAAAAATACTATTTCATGCATACTTCATGATAAATTATAGTTGTCTTGAAATGCTTGAAGTTGCGACTTTGGTGGTGCTGCAGAGTAATTCAAATAATTCAGTTGTCTAGGGAGAGATTTTCTCACCTGAACCTTTTTTCTTTTCGCAAGAAGGCATGAAAAATAAACGACCAGGAAGATGAATAATGCATTTATCCTCTTCCTCTATTTTGTCCCTTATATGCTCTTTATATTCTGAAAACAACAGCTAGAGAGAGTTGTGAAGGAAAAGCGACATATCAATCACAATAAAAGCATAATAAAATATGATTCATTTATGCACAAAGAGGAAAACAGCGACGCTGTCATGAGTCTAAAGTAGTTTTTGAGAACAGATCTATGCTTGTGACATCAAGATGTGTGTATATGCACAGAAAGTTGTCGGGGGAATTTGTATTTCTTAGTTTTTATTTGAATAAATTACATTGACTTATAACATTTTCTTTACATCAAGCATACAGTCTTAGAATCCAGTGCAAGAATAAAATAAAACAAAAACAGAAAAACAAATAAAACAAAAAGAATCCAAAGACAATCATGTGCAGCACAGAGAATCCCTCCTTTCACATTGCTTTTTGGATAATATACTGTGTATATACAGCTATACTTTATGTGTATACTCTTGTCACAGTTACAAAAAAAACACAAGTTACTGTGGATGCGCGGTTATACACACAAGGTGAAAACAATACACAGAAAAGCTGTACAGTCCTCATTGAGGGCAAAGATACACACAATTGTTTTTTAAAAAAAAGTGAGAAAAGAGAATAAAAGGAACGGTTTTGCTTTTAAAAATAAATGTATGACCCCTAAACTGCAACGTTAGTCTTCGTCAGCCAATGGGTGTACTCTCTGTGGAAGTTGTGCTTCCCTTAAGAACAAAACAACACCTGTTACGGGTATCAGTTGATATTGCACGATTTATTGTATTCCTACGTCATATAATGAATTTGTCATTTGATTAAGGAGACATCCGTGTTTCTTTTCATGTGGAAAAGTACATCCTAAAGTCCTCTGCAACCCCCGTCCCCGTGCACAACATGTACCCGGACCCCTCCGATCCCCAAGGAACACGCACAACATTAATACAAGATGGGTGAAAAATAGTGTAAACTGCCGCACAGAAGGGTTAATACTTTTATCGCCACCACAGAAAACAAGACCCCAGGGATAGCGAGTGCCTGACTGCACCTTCCTGCTGCGATGACCGAGTCGGGTTGGACTTCCAGGTCATCGGTACATGAATTAAACGTTAAATCGCCCACAATACTGCATACAACCATATAGCAGGTGAAATATAATTAAACAATGTATGCAATCTTGCATTTTTTTCAGAGGACTTAAATGACATGAAAAGGGTAAACCAGTAGATTTTAGTCTAAATAATGTTGGAGAAAGTTTTTTTTCTTTTTTTCTTTCTTTAAATGTATGTTGCATCATTCCAATGAATAAAACATTTCCACCAAGACGGAAAAGAAAGTTCTCATTCCATTCAGCCATTTGTGCACTCCTGGCTATGTCTAGTTTTGCCTTAATCAATAGCTTATAGACAGCTACATTACAGAATACTAATAGTAGGGATGCAGCAATAAAAGCTAAACCTTTGGCTGCAGAAGAAACGATTGCCCCAATGAACAGTTAAGTCCTACAAGTTATTATATCACAATACATCGACCATTTTTCACACAAGCTGCTGATAAAATACACGATGGAGGATTGAAACTTATGCACCATAGTTTTCTCACATCACTTCAAACAGTTTGAACAACTTGCACGACTCGTTTTTGCAAATCATGTCATCACTCCACTAATCACTGGCTCAGAAAGGTAATGTCACATATTCAAGAACACAGTTTCAATCTTCCTGATTGAAATGCCAAAGAACTACAAACTGCAAAGCTTCATCCCGTTGCCTCGAACAGATTCACTGACACCGTGCTGTCTGGAAATCTTAAAGCTAAAATTGGAGTTGACTCTGCAGGTAACTTTGGTTTCCAATCACAATCACATGCACATGTTGATATGTATGAGATAAAAATAGGATGGGTAATCGTTGCTGTTAGTTGTCAACTAGATCTAGTCAAATCTATGAGTAGTTAGAAGGAGAGGACGTCATTTGGACACAATTGCGAATGCCGAGAGATGGCAACCATTAAAAAAAGAGAGGAGTATTCGAACAAAACAAAATCAGCTCAACATATTTTTGTATAAGATAAAACGTTAAACATTTGAAACCATGCTTGACCTAGAGTCTCTAACAAACATGAAGCACGTGGACCAATTTTTTTCTAGTGAGAGAAAAGTTTCTATCTACTGTAGAGGTTCCCACAAAGTACAGTGAATGAGAGAAAAGCGCCATTTTGCAAAGCTGCTCTGATAAACTCACAAAGTGATGACGGAATGACAGCCAACTGAAACCAAGACGGAAGCCGGGGCAGTAGTGGATAAAATGACTACGGAAGCCTGAATGTACCTCCTGGGATAAAGGGGGACGTAACGACATAAACGTAGAGTTTTCCTCATTTAAAGTTTTTACGCTCAATTGGTGCACACTCGCTTTAATTTGTCACCAATCTTCGCTTGTTATTGTGTTGCTGCTGTTTTGACTCCTTTGAAGCGGAGCACTGGTGGTTGGTAGGGAGGTTAAGGAACGGGTTACTGGGAGTACTGGGCGGGGGCTCTGCTTAGTCACCTTTACGGACTGGTAGTGGTGCCGTCCTAGTGGGGCAGCGGCACCAGGATATCCACGTAGTTGATGGGGAAGAAGCCAGAATTGCCGTTCAGCATCCCCTCGTACCAGTTGTCATCGATCTTATTGGTCAGGGTGATGATGTCGCCTTCCTTGAAGCCTAGCTCACCTTCGTTCTCCGGGTCAAAATCGTACAGTGAGCGACAGCAGGGCTGGTCCAGGGGGGCTGGAGGCAAGAAGAAAAAAACAAATATCAGGGAATATCCGAGACGAGAGGTGAGAGATAAATACGCCGAATTAAGATGAGAGAAATAATGATTGCTTGTGAAAAAGCTCACCTGGGGACCTTGCTGAAAGAGGGAAATGACGCAGAGAGGAGTCGACAAAGCACAAGAGAGAAACACAAAAACAAGACCATCAGTTACCAGAAAATAGGAATAGTTATACATTTGAGACGTACGCTTCATCTCTTTACATACAGTAGGTAGATTGAGGACGATTGATACAACGATCATATCTGTGTGTTACGGCTACAGCCAGAAAGCGAGCTTTATGTGCTTATGATCCTTGGATGAAGCACTGGCTGCTTCCCCAGGTTTGCAGTCTTTATGCTAAGCTAACTGGCTGCAGCTTCATATTAAGCATGCACACATTGGAGTTGTATACTTCTTTTTTAGCTATAAATAAGCTAGTAAACACATTTCCACAATGCCAAACAACTCCCTTAACAATAAAGCAAACATTTACAAAAAAGGTACAAAAGAGAAACTAGAGGTTATAACGCAAAACAGCACTGCAGACGAGCTGCACTGCGAACGAAAAAATCCACATGCACAGAAGTCAATAAAGAAGGATAAAATAATGGAGATGGAGAGATTATGCCTCTCATCCCAAGTCGCCTTCTCACCTGGAGATCTTGCTGCAAACGGAAAAGGAGAAAACAAAGGTGAACAAACGGCAGAAGGGTTTACTTGCATTTCTCTGGATGGATAAATGATGAATTGGTGGGTATGTGCAGGAATGAAGAGGTCAGTAAACAAAACGAGGAGAAACACAAGTTGGAGAATGAAGTGAAAGAGAGGCCGACGGACAAAGCAACGGGAGGATAAGACTGATCAGAAGAATGACAGGAGAACACAACCGAAACAGCAAATGCTGCCCCGCTCCGAAGCGTTCCCTTTTTACTGCGGGCCGATCGCCCTCTGAACAGCGAGCGGACAGCACTTGTTTTTCTGTTGTCATTTTTTTTGAATGCAACAATTTTCTAAAAACAAAACAAAATGAGAGATGGACAAAAAAAGTGGAAGATGGTTGAATTTCTCCTGGAGACCTTGCTGCAAAGAGGGAAGAGGAAACGACACCAGGGGGAGGACGGGAGGGGAAGTGGGTTCTTTTTTTTGTGTGAATGAAGGATGTAAATAAGTTGGTGAGAAACGCATGGACAGATAAGTTTGACCTGGCTCACCTGGAGACCTCGCCCCTGGAAGAATGAAAAATCATAAAAGGGAAAGAGAAGAGCGCACAGTTGTACTGGTTAGCTGTGGTTCGAGGAGTATTCTGTTAAGCACACGTTCTAACTGAAATGTTTGGTACTGAAGGAGCTGCGGAGGAGAAAGCAATAAAACACCAAACAGAAAACATCGTCAATTCTCAATGCTTCATTAATGCATGCAAAGTTTTTATTTTAACATCCTTTTATGTAAACTAATCATGTATCGTGTCTGCTTTTTGGATGTGTATTCTTTAACATGGAACTAATGTCCTCATGTATGAGAATGACGTGTTGTCATGTATTTGTGTGTTTGTCTCGGCTCGTCGGTATTATACTGGTTATTGTGCAGAAATATTTCTAAAAGCCAGTTGTCAATCACACTTTAGATAAAGGGTAAACTGTATTTCCTACTATAATAAACAGGGATATTTGTTTGTTCGGTTGAATGTGTGACCCGGTGCTCCAGTACAGGAAAATGAATTAACAATTTTTACTGTTTGAGCAGAAACTCATGAGACTTGACAGGGAGATTCCAGAGTCTAGTTTCTGCTCCTGCTTCTCAATAAGGAGCAGATGTACTTTGGCTCTCACCTGGAGAGCGGGCACCGTGGAGGCCTCCATTGTGGTTCTCACTGATGGAGAAGTCCAGGGACGTGCGCGGTTTCGGAGCAAACTCTTTCCTCGGTTTGACGGTGGTGTCCTTTATCCTGCAACGCGACAGAATCCGTCCATGAACAAAAAATAGAGATACAATCAACACTCACACACTCATACATGCCATTAATGTAGAGTAAAACAAAAAGAGCCCTCCTGCGAAACAAGCAATGGGACTACTGACCGTTCGTCGATCTTACTGGAGAGCTGTGTGAGGATCTCAGCGGCGCGACTGTGGTACTCCACCTGCGCGTGCACCAGCGCAGCCAGCTGGCTCACCTGCTCAATCTGTTAAAGACAAGATCACAGTTCATTTTTGATCTTGGAAACAGCAGTTGGACAAACAATCTGGCAGCAACGTGCACTAGCAGCTGTTCTTGATGTTTCACTGCTACCTGCCATGAATCGTTAGGATAGAATTGTCGATGAAAGCCAAGAAAACCTTGAAATGCTTATTAAAGTGGAAAATCAAACTTCTAGAAGTCCATACCTACTGGATGCACATCATGTGATGAGGTAGATGTTAGATGGCAGAGCCGCTATTAATGGACCTTGTGATAGACGATTTTACTACTGCATTCAATAGTTTATGCCTCTTGGGGTCCAATTTCGGTTTATAGATTATTACATAACACACATTGCAAACAGCTGATCCACATCCAGTAGACACAGAATTATTAGTATGTACTGAAGTCATGTTTCAGTTACAGTTACCTGTGTAATAGGTTACATGCAATCATTTGATCAATTGTTTGCAATGGAAACAGGCACAGAGTGATGACCTCCTGTGATAAACGTGATCGGGGAGGACAGAGGGAATAGCAGAGGGGGTGGCCGTAGCAAAAGTAGAACGTTTAAAATAAAAAATTAAATTATATGTGTTAATAGACTTAACAAAACATAAAAACAAGGTTCCCACTACCCCAATTTTTTTTTTACATTGAATGCAAGTGATGCATTAGTGAAGGGACAAGGGCTAAAAACAGAGAAATCCTTACATCGCTCTCCAACAGGTTGAACATGCTCAGCTCAGCAATCTCCTTGGAGTCGTCAAATTTCTCCAGTGCCTGTTTCAGCTCATCTTCTGTCACTTTTCCGGAACGTTTCTTCTTATAATCGAAGTCCAGACGACGACCTTCCATTTTCTTCAGGTGATGCTGCGTAAGAAGACCAGAGAGTAAAGCTGGACCTTTGACGGAGGAAACTATTTTTACATGAGTTTCTTGCATTTTTTAATTTTTTAATCAACGTTCTACACTCGTACCTGAATCTCCTTGAGATCTTTTTCATGGAGGTTCTGCATCGGATCAATAAAGTTCTGCTTGACCTCCATGTCCAGAGCGTCTTTAACCTCCCCGAGCTCACGCATGGCTTCCCCAGCATCAATCAGAGCAAGGCCTGCGAAAATAAAGACACATTTAGCTTAACGCTCACTGTCAGTGTCATTATCACATTGCCATCAACATCAGATTTCAAACACACGTATTTATTCTTTAATACATTCACTTTCTGAAATACACGGTCATGCATTTTTCATGACATTGCAGCCTTGAGGGAATACAATTATTCCACATTGTTGTGGTATAAAAAACGTGTTCTTCCGTCTCTGCCAGGGGCTTTAACGTGCTTCGGCTCACCAAAGTTGGACTCCTCTCCGAGCTCCCTGCCGAACCTCTGCATGGACTCTCCCAGGATGACCTCGGTCTGCGTGTAGCCGGGTCCCTTCTCCTGCCCCCGCATGCGCGACATGGAGTTCATCATGCTCATCTTGGCTCTGGTGGCTGTCCAAGCAAAGCAGCGATATTAACGTTTTCTTTTTTCTGGAAATATTTCGATCAATCGATCAAACTGCTGAGCTGAATCAGGGAGATCCTGAAACATTTCCTGTGACGCTAGCAGATGCGTTCTTTGATTCATGAGGGGAAACCCTGTCTGTAGATAGATAAACATCATTTCAACATGAATGTCAAAGACAAGAATTATATCCCAGTGAAAAAACAAAACTAGAATAAAGTACTTGAAATTCATTTAATTTCATTTAAAAATCGTTTTACTTTATTAAATGCTGCATAATATTTTTTCTTTAAATATTTTAATTTGGACTCCCGGGAGACACGTGTTTAGTCACATGACCGTCTAGCACAGCTGGTTTATTTCACCTGGGTTTGGCTGCAGATACTCGGTGGTCTTGGTGATGATGTCCATCACCGCCCGAGCAGTGGTGTCCATCTTCTGTAAACCGCAACCGCAACGAGCAGACGAAGAGAGAAATAACGGTTAAAAAAAGAGATGTGAATAGAAACCAAAATCAGTAGTGAGTGAGAAACATTGCGGGTGATGATGAGATGAATATAAAGAGCGAGAGAATAATTTATGCATCCGGTGCCGAGAGAGGAAACAAGATAAAAGAAAGTGTTGGTTTGTTCAGCAGAGCTGGGAGCCGGCCGCGAGGTCTTCATCGGGCGAGGTTCATTTGATGAGACTCGCCCGTTCCGACAGCTCAGCTTCTCCGTCTGCGACGCACTGGGACCACGAACACACCACAACGCACACGATGCACACACATGCTCATACTCAAAATTCTCAAACTCAAAAACACACAAAAACACACTCACACATACAAACAAGAGTCTATACATTGTGGAATAAACATTCTAATATAAAGTGGCATTAAAGGGAAATTATGGAAGCAACAGGCCGTGTTTTTATTATATTGTTTATTTTAGATTTGGGGGTAAATAATGATTGAAATTATTTTAAAAAGATAACAAGATCAAAATAAAACTCGCCATAATAAAATCAGTTACTAGGACTAAAGATATTAACATGGAGGATGATAATTGAGAGGACTCGCCTTTTCCATATCAGTGAAGTCTCCATCGAGCTTCGTTCCTTCTGCACCTCCAACCTTCTCACTCACTTTCTGCAAAAGAAAGAAAAGCAACAATCATGTTGAGGTTTAAATGCTCTTCTCATCTTGAAAAACAATTTGGTGCATTGGCTTTCAAATTTTAAAATCATTTCTCAGTAGTAATATAAAGCACATAATTGAAATGACATGAAATTAAGACCTCTGCAAAAACATATTCAGTCACAAGAGAATCTTCAAAAGTGCCACTAGCACTTGTTGTCAAAAACATGTATATATATGCCGAGATATAATGTTTAATGATAAACTGCAGCTGGGCTCATAGGTCTATAAGGAAATAGTCCTATTCTCATCTGCAGAAAAGGATTATGTTACGTGTTTTGATTTCTGCAACATCGGGGCCACAACGTCTCTATTAAGATAATGTCAAACAATAGATGCACAACCATCAGCTCGACCTTGTGCCTCGCGTAACGGAAAGCCACATTTCATTAATGATCCCGCAGCCATGTGGGCCTCTCCTCTCACAACCCTGGTGCTCATGGACGACAAGGTCAGGAGATCGTAATTGATCGCCCCAACGGGGTTCATCTTAAAACCAGTTGGTATTAATGTTTTTGAAACGTTTCATGGGTCTGTAACAAAAAACTCCTTCAGCTTTCGTTGCCCACAACTTTTAAAGCCGCCGCCGCCGCCTTCTGACACCTTGTTGCAATGCGGCTTTTACATTTTCTGCAGTTCACACAAGGAAAACAGGCAGTCTGTTGGCTCCAGTTTTTACACGTGACATATCGGGGGTTAACCGATGCAGAGATTCTCCATCACAGAGGAAGAGAAAAGGCAGCAGCAAGAGGCTAAGAGCGTCGGCCCCTGCAGCATCGGACGTGTGCAGACATAAACACAGAAAGAATCCCTTTGGGCTCCTGTCCCCTCTCTCATAATATTTCGAGCCCGGCGACCGTTCATCGCGAGTCTGTGATGTAATCAGATGGCTCTGGGGGGGGGCTATCTGACACAACGGGGCCAGACAAGGCCCTCTGAGGATGGACTGAGGGAGGGGAAAAAAAAAAGATCCCAGGGAACGTCACAACGTGTGACTGAAGACACCAAGCTGAGGTCAGTGGTTGAAGTCTTTCCTCGACTATAAAACTAACAACATGATGCAAATACTCTTGATATGTAACGAAATCATATTAATAACAATAACACACATTGTTATCATTTATTGTTTTGGGCACTAAATCAACAAAGCCTTTCCAATTTCAAATCGACAAATCTGAACTTTTACAGATTGTGTGTAAGAGCTCAGCCTCAAGTCTTCTAACAACATTGGCTCCCCTGCTTTAAGATTGATTAGGATCGTAGGATAGTGATTACCTTTAAGGCTCTTCATGACCTCCTGGCTCCTGACGATATTTTAGACCTCTTAATCCCTTATGAAACTTTGCATATAAGAACCACAGGCAGGGGTGTTGTTTCTCTTCCACAGTCTGAGCTAAAATCCAAAGGGGACTTTTGGTGATCTGGAATGAGGAATATAAAGCGGTGTCTTCTTCTGATTTCTATTTTATTATTTTAATAATTCATTCATGTTTAAAAAAATAACTTTGTTATTCAACCCTTTATTTATGTTTACTCTTTGCAAAGGACTTTGTTTGTTTTTTGGAGTGTACTATCTCCTCATTTAAAACAATTCAGAGAAGCAGATGCAATTAAGCGAGTAAAGCGTGAGACGAGAGGGGTGATCTATGACAGGGAGCAGGGTGGTTATAAAACTTCAGCGGTTTATGCAGCGCAAGACTTCCTGAGGATTGGTCTATGAGTCATCCTCGCAAAAGTGTCCTCTGATCCCACTTGGGAAACAGCTCAATATTCTGACAGCAATGCAAAACACACATACAGACACACACACACACACACACACACACACACACACACACTCACCCACTCACAGTATGAGTCTAACAGAGAGACACATTTCCTCTCATTAGCATCACCTACACATCACTACAATGTCTTCAAATACTCCTTCGGCTGGTTGCCATGGAGACGGGTACCTGCCCTTGCCTCGATTATCCGACGCGGCGTGTGCGTCTGACTGATCGTACTCTCTCTTCTCTGTCAGACCCGGCGATCAGACCTGAAACAACCGCAGCGCATGAAAGTCTTCGACAAACTGAGCTGTTAAAGAATGAAGTGTACGAGAAGTAGGGCAGTAAATATATCTACACATAGCAGCGTAGCGCCACATCACACCGGGGATTCAATGCGACGGGAAATGTAGCACAGGAACGTCCTACCTGGTTTCAGATGTGTACGTGACGCACGTATACAAGCAAAGATTGGCCTCCTTTCAGATAGAAACGAGTATTTATTTAAGAAAGAGACGCACATGTTCTACACCTAACACTGAATCATGAAAAATGTGAGGTAGGTTTATTTAGTTTTGTGTCCATAACCTCGCATTTATCCATTATTCAGTTCTCCTGAGTGCTTCAACTGGAAAGATAAGGTAGATCAATACAAAGGAATAAACTGTTTGGGAATCGGAGTGAAGCAGAAAGACCTACAGCTTATCGTTTGTACTCTGCAACATCTAAGGTGCATCTGGCTCAGAAACAGGGAGAGTCAGAGGCAGTCAGTTATTTCCAGAGCTAAACGGACGAAGAACCACTCAGTGGGGTCTGGGGACGTGCGTGTAGCCTGGCAGGGGAAGAGCAACGGAATGGATAAAAATGTGGTGTTGGTGGCTGTTTCTGAGTAAGTGGAGCAGCGCTGCTGCTGCTGCTGTCATGTTCAACCCCCAGACACGTGCAAAGTGGAGAGTAAAGACGGAGCCAGTGTTCTGCTTTCCGGGCTGCAAGCCGAGGAGGCAGCATTTTGGTACAGTGATGACGAACATGCACAGAGACACTGGAGGACTTCACAGCCAATAACCTGAAAGGTTGATCGATCTTTTCCTTCCAACGGAGTTCCTACACGGCAGATGAACGTGAACCAAGCAGCACCACGGCTCAACTCGTCTCATCCCGTCATTCGACAACCAACCTCACCCTTTTTCTTTCTCGCCCCGATCACTTCCCCTTTGGGCCTTGCTCTCCTCTTCCCCCCCCCCCCCCCCCGCAGGGGAAAGACGTGACAAGGTGAGCTGCGCGGCAGCAGAGGTACCGGGAGGTGAACCTTACAGAGATGAGAGACAGGCGCAGCTGCGTCTGCAGGGAAATAAGAGCAGCGGCACGGATGATACGTAACCTGCATCATATGCAAGGCTCTCCCGTTAGCAGAGCTGCAGAGCGCCGAGAGACGGGAGTACGTGTTTGTGATGCCTGCAGACAAAGAGGCAGCGCAGGGATACGGTTTCTCTGCAGGGCGAGCGCTGTCGTTTTTCCAAATACGTTGCAGCAATTGTGTGATTTATTTTTAATGAATTTAAGTTTTAACATGTGTAGCACTGGTTTGATTAATGATTTGCTCCCAAAATTCAAGCAAAAGGCATCTTGACAAAATATGAACATCCCAATATATATTTTTTATATATCAAAGTTTTACATTTTTGACCAAAGACATCTTGACTTCACAGAATCGATTCTCACGGATGTGCACTGAATGTTGTAAGTTTCAAAATCACAGTTCTGGAAGCTGCAAATTAAACTACTACTCGCTGTTAAACAAATTTGTCTTTGCACATAATGATCATAAAGATTTGTCTCCAGGACAACATTTAACCTGACGACTTGAACCAAAGTCCTCAGGATTCATGGTGGAATAATCAATGTTTGCACAAGATTTCATCTCTAGGTATTCAATATAACAGAGTTATTTCATTCTGGATCAAAGTGGTAAGCAGACAAGACAAAACAATAGTAACAAGTTCAGAACTATAACACAAACTACACACAGGTTCACGGATGATTTACACTTCCCTCAACACTGCATTTTTTTAATCTCTAACTGGCATCGACGTAAACCAAATGGGACAGGATTAAACGCGGAGAGGAAACTATTGCAGAGATTTGGCCAAAGGCAGCTGGACATCCGCTTCTGGCTGTTTGTCCCAAACGTCTTGAGGCAAAAGGCAGAGTGTGCTGACCTGCTCTCACATAGGATCTTCAGAAAGTTACATCAGCATTTAGAGGCTCAGGCGACAGAACCAGGTGAGGTGAAACCAGCCCGATGTAACGGGTCAACTTCGTTGACTTCAATTTGTAAAATGTTTAGCCCCACACTTTTGCCAAAACTGAAACTAAACAACAAACTATTCCCAGCTACTGGATCCCCCTTTCGCTGATAAAGGTATTTACCTTTCCATGAAGACAACTGCTTACATAGATTAATGCAAACACAACAGCAGGGTTGTACACCTGTGTAACACACGCTGAGTTAATGCTATTAAACGGCTGAGGAGGAAACCCACAGAGTCTGCTGTTGCTCTTAAAACGGAAGTCCAGGATTAGATTATTCATCTCACAGCAGCAGAACACTGAGTGATCAATACTACTACTGTGCAGCATCTGCACCATTTAGTTTGCCTTATTTGATATAAATAGACACAAATTATTTTGTTATTAATGTTTTAGAAAAAATAATCATCCTTTTATGTCTGTGTATATGTGGGATTCATTGGAGGATTTCCTGAAACATAATCTCATGTCAGATTCTTTAACACAGGAAGTCAAATTGACGTTGACTTCAGTAATGTGTGAACTAACTGCTCCTGTGGATGTATTGAGTCCCTCCTTGTGTCCTTACATTTCATTGCATTTTTACATCCATGTTGGTCTACACACACGATACATAGTGGAGACTTTGAAGGAAGGTGGTGTTCTGAGGTAGTGGCATCCAACAACTGGAAGTCAGGGTGGGGGGGGTACGGGATTCGGTCGTGTGGATGCAATGGTGCAGAGGACCAGGAGGGAACAAAATCAAAGACGGCAGAATCGAAGGCGCCTTGGATGACCCTCCTCTGGCAGCTCGTGGGGCGGAGAGAAGGGTGGAGGACAGGATCAAAGCCGGCGAGCTGGTTCCCCAGCGAGAGTCTAACGATGGAGGGTGTC